CACTCTTCCTCTGCGTCTTCGCTTCCTCCCTTCCCATTTTCAACCGTCGCCGGGGTAAGCATTTTTCGTCGATCTGTCCGTAGCTGGCTGGAGTTGGAGCTCGTTTTTCCTGCTGATGGACGTTGGTCAAAATCTCTTCCATCTTCCTTGTTCGAGCTCACAGTGTATCACTAGGTTGAGGTACAGATTATGGGATCATTTTGCTTGTGCTACGTCGAGTTTCTCTGCTATGTTCTTGGTTAGTGATGCTTCTTTTCTCTACTCGGTTCTGATTGTTGCTCTGTTCTCGTAAATGACGTTCAAATGTTGCTAATGAACGGAAGAAATCAAGTCGCCGGAATTGGTGGTACTGGTCATGAGCTGGAACTGACGCTGATTCTATTCGTTTTTCTTTATTTCGAATGGTGCTTTGTCTTCTTTTGTTTCCTTGCTCAGCTGTGAATTTCATCTTCTCCCTGTTCTGTTGGAAGTCTCTTGATATTTCCCTCTTTCGCTGTTATTGGTGATTAAGGTGAGGATTTTTGAGCTTTCTCTCTTGTTGAGACACGTGAGAGGGGGTGTGAGTTGACGATTGAAATCATAGAATCCTTTGACAGAATTCTGCTGCTGCCCGTGCTTATAGGAAGAAGAAGGTTCAAATTTGAGTTGAAAATTTGACTTGAAGCTTAGTAATGACATACATATGAATCATAATTTTGGAGTTAAATTAATGTTGTTGAATTGATTGATGTTAAATAATTTATTGAGATGAAATTGAAAGAGAATAACTTAAATATATAACTTGAATATTAGTGTCCAGATGTTTGTTAATGACTTATGAGAGAAAATTGAATTTGATTTTTGAATATTTATGAAAATTATTTATTTAGGTATTAATCTGTAGATTTGTAAAGGAATTTGATTATCGATTTGTGTGTAGCTATTGAATACTTGAAACTTGTTTGGAAAATTGTTGAATATTTAAATTGAAGAAGTAGAAGAAATACATCTAAGGTATTGGGTGCAAGAATTGAGAGAAAATTATGTTTCAAGAAATAGATAGACATGATTAAAATAAATTGGAGAAAACTAGTAATATAAATAATAATACTTAGACCAACTCTAAAAGCATAAATGTTGGTTTTGGTTTAAATGATGATAGTTGGTTGAGACTGTATAATAAAAAAATTATTAAAATTGTATTTATTTATATAGTTATGGAATTTGTGGAAAACAAGATACTAATAAGAATTAAAGGAAAAATATTTTGAGAATTTAGAACTCTAATGAGCAATGAACAACATTCCATTTAATTATTTATTAATAGTTTTTTTATAGTAAGATTTTATTTTTATGAATTATTTTAGTTTTAGAAATTATGGAACAGTGATGAAGGATAATTAAATTATGATATGTGCATTTATTTTTCCTCAAGAAATATATTTCAAATATTAGTGACAATATCTTTGTTTATTGAACTTCAGAATTTCTTGGCTATATGATAATGCAAGTTTGCACGCTCTGAAGTATTAATTTGGCAAATTTGAGATTTGAAACAATTCATGCGAGTTTGATATTAAAAATAAAAATTTTATTTTAAAAAATAATTATTTTTCTTGCATGTTTGGAACATGATTTCTAAGAGGATTTTATATATAACACTGATTGCTAATGGTAGTTCCATTAGCCCTCGGTGCCTTAGTTAATGATTAGCTAATTTGAATTTCGTGACCCTTATTCTCACATTTGTTATTCATGAGTATTATACCTGCATTTGATTTCGTGGTTTCTAGCCACGTTTGGTTTGTATTATCCTCGTGGACTGTGTGTCCATGTTTGTTTCATAACTCTAACTGCATTTGGTTATTTATCTCACGAATTATGTGTTCATGTTTGTTTTCATGGCATAAGCCGCACTCAGTTATTTACCTTTATGGATTGTATGTCCACATTTATTATATGTTTTATTAAGCCCTCATCATTTTAAATTTGCATCAATTTATATATTTAAAATTTAATAGGTTCAATTACTAGTGTGCTGTGTTGATTCATATATGTATAAGGGTAAAGTGTAAATTTACTTCGAAACTTTTCTTCCAAGAGCGCCTGGTATTCTAAACTTTTTGTGGGAGCAATATTGCCCGAAACTCTCAAAAATGGTGCAATGTTGCCTTATGTCAGAGTTGACCATTCGTTGATTATTTTGTCTAACTGGACTTGCCACATGGCATTTTTTAAAATTAAAAAAAATAATAAAGGTGTAAATTTATCCTGAACCTTTTCCTCTAAGGGCACTTAGTATCCTCAACTTTTTTTGGGAGAAATAATGTTGCCTTTACCATTATGTTTGACTTCACTTGCCATGTAATATTTTTTAAAACTAAAATAAAATAAAATAATGCTTCATCCTTATCAGCTTCTTCTTCTTCATCCATGACACTGAAAATGCAAAATAACTTAGAATACTAAGATAAAAATTAAACTCAAATTTTCAACATCAAAAATAATCAAGAAAAACAATCAAACATAAATTTTTAACATCAAAAAACAATAAAGACAGGGGATAGAAAGGAAGAAAATAAAAACATAGCTCAAGAATTTAACAATTCAAAAACAGCTCAAATATCCAAAACAACAAGAATAAAAAATTAACAACTTAGATTAACTAATACCAAGTAAGGAAAAGTAACAACTCAATAGGAGCTTCTCATTTAGCTCTTGTCGTGCAAATGCTGACAATGGAGGAGGGAGGAATGAAGAGAAGAATGGCTGACTTAAAGGAGGGGAGGGGGAACAGCATTTTAATTTGTTTAAAATGTCATGTGGCTACCATATGGCAAGTGGAGTCAAACAAAATAGTCAACTCTAACAGTAGGGCAACATTGCACCATTTTAGAGAGTTTCAGGACAACATTGCTTCAAAAAAAAAAAGTTAAGGATAGTAGACGCCTTGGGAGGAAAATTTCAAGGTAAATTTGCACTTTTATCATTTTTTTAATTTTTAAAGAATGCCACATAGCAAGTTTAATCAAACAAAATGGTCAACAAATAGTCAACTTTAACGGCAAGGTAACATTACACCATTTGAAGAATTTTAAGGCAATATTGCTCCCATAAATATTTTAGAATATCAGGTGCTCCTGGAAGAAAAGTTTTAAAGTAAATTTGCACCTTTATCCTATGTATAAATCATTCATCTCCTACCATGTTGGAATAAAGTGTTTTAGTTACTCTCATTTTTATGGTTATAAATAAGATTATACATTTATTGAGTAGATCATATTGAATTCTCATCTTTTTAACTAATTTACACAATAGATTGAATTTATTATTTATTTTTTTATTTATTTAATTTTATTTTTAGGGATGCTATTCATTGAAAAAATTATTTTTGATCTCAGATTTATTAACTGACGTTGATCCTACTATCAACCTCTAAAAGAGCAATACAATTATACTGGGTGAAAATTTTGCTTAGTATTATACCTTTGATGTAAATATTTTAGACTCATGTATTTAATTTAGAAGAAAAATTAATTGCTCCACATAGGTTATTCTTAGGACTTTATTTTGATTTATATATTATTTATTGGTTGAAAAGCACTAAGCTCTTGACTTATTGTTATTTTGACTGAATTAGTGTATTGTAGAAATTTGAGAGATTCTATTTATAAGGAGATTCTGTTAAAATTTCTACGAATATATTAAAACTTTGTTATAATTATTAGTATCAAAAGTGTTATAATTTTAATATAAATTTGATTACATTTTAAAAATAGAACGAATTTACTATTTGAGGCTTACGGGGTTGTGTGACACGATTCACATCTCGTGCCACTTACTCTCTATTTTCGGGACGTGACACTATTTATAACAAATTAAAATCTATATGAAATTGTGATGGATTTCTTATAATCGTTGGGGGAGGGGTTGAATTCATATATTCTGTAATTAGATTTTGTAAATTGACAAAAATTTAAAAATTACTCAGAATGATGACATTACAAAATTTAGATCATATAATCTTAAAGATATGATTATTTTAAGAATATCTTCTAACTTAATTTCAGAAAAATTGACTAGAAATTTAAATTTACAAAAAGATATCATGTTTCAAAAATCTGGATGTAAGTTTTCTTTTTTTATTATTGGATGTATGTTTTTTAATTCATTAATAAACCATATAAAATATGATCACATCTTTCCTCCTTAAAATAAATAAGTAAAATATTGAAGATTTCTAAATTCATTATTTTTTTTAATTTTCAATATCTAGATGAGTAGGATGTAATTTTTCTTTTTCAAGAAAAGCTCCCTCTAAGATATATGATTATTTACGTAGACCCCATGATATTATCTTAAACTGATTGTTAAACTGATTGTTAATTAAGAATCACTTCTATTTTTTTTTTTGGGGTTATATGATTGAATCAATTCTATCAATTCTTTCAGTTAAATAAGTGAAATTTTTTGATCAAATTGAATGATTCAAATTCCTATTCATAAATTATAATTATAACTATATTATAACAATGAAAATTTAAATTTGGATTTACATTTGATCAAATCCAAATCCACTTTTTATTATAATTTATTTTTAATTTCAAATTCTCTCTACTTTCCATCCTAGTTATTTAAAACTGAAATTTTAACAACCACGATTATCTCATCCTCTTCAAGTTTCCACTGTGACTGCTCTTATCACCCCTGCTTCTTCTCGTCTTTGGTTGGTAAACTTGTCACTTTCAATATTTTATTTTTGCTTCTAATTTCAACTCGTTTCTCCTTTTTCCTTTAAAATTTTTTATATTATCCAAACAAAATATTTTAAATTTGAGATTTTAAATTTAAAATCCAAATCCAAATCTATCAACTTAAACACAATCTTATCTTATATGGTTCTTGGCTTTCTAATGTTTGGCTGCCATTCTGTGACAACAGCCACTTTGCTTGGCTTCTCTATCGTTCTCTTTGTCATCCTGACTTTCTGAGAGAAGGATCACGACGGCATAACTACGATTATGGCGAATTCAATGTCAGACCAGTTAAAATTAGTGAAACTGGAGAGAGATAGTATCAGTAACTTACCAGACTCTTTGCTTCACCATATCCTCACGTTTCTTCCAACTAGAGAAGCCGTTGCCACAAGCCTCTTGTCCAAGAGATGGAGACCACTTTGGCTTTCAATGCCCACTTTTGATTTTGATTGTAGAAACTTTCATAGTCTTGACTCGTTCACTCAGTTTGTAGACGCAGTCTTGTCAATGACTGATTCGAAGACTACTATAGAAAAGTTCAGGCTCAGATGTGAGAGCTGCTATCAATGGGGTTAGAGAAGGAGTCAAGTACTATAACATGCTTCCCAATACTAAGATTAATATTTGGATTAACACAGCGCTAAATCGCAGAGTTGATCATCTTGAACTACGTTTTAGCAGTTGGGATAAGTTCATTGACTTGCCCCCAAGAACTTTTAATTGCAGTACCCTTAGGGTTTTAAAGTTGCATGGGGTTAAAGTGGATAATCCTTATTCTATCAATTTGCCTTTGCTTAAAGTCATGATATGTTGGAAGTTGAAATTTCAAATTTTGAATTCTTGACATATCTCCTTTCAAGTTGTGCTCTTCTTGAAGAGTTGGTATTAGATTTTTTATAAATGACGAGGACGATGTTGATGTTGATGATGATGTGCCGTTATTAAATGTTGACAAGCTTGAACATCTGGTTTCGGCAAATATTCCTTCCCATCTGTTTACGTGGAAGGCATTTACTAATGTGACCTTTCTTTCATTAATGACGGTATGAATGATTCTTATCTATATCATTATTTTTCAATCTATATCTCTACTTTTATTACATAATTAAGCTTAGTCCTCATCATGCAGTATACAGCGTCTGGCAATGATTATTTTCCAAGATTTGACCATTTAACCCACTTGGAATTTGAATGTCTTTATGATGAAGACTTGAATTGGATAGTGGAAGTCCTACCTAACTGCCCCAAACTTGAAATTCTTGATATTGATGAGGTTAATTTCTTAATTTCAACTTTGATTGAGTGTGCATTACTTTTTATATATAGGTTGTTTCTAATTTTTCATATTCCTATGATCAGATTGAAGTTAATCCCAAAAGGCTTGGAAGGATAATGGAACCAATAGTGAGGTTCCTCAATGTATTTCATCACAGCTAAAGGAATTCATTCTTGGTGCATATGATGGCTCTGAATGTGAGTTTCAATTTGTAAGATTTATTATGAAGAATGCAAGAGTCTTGAGAACAATCTCAATTTTCAGTTGCAGTTCTGAAGATAAGAAGTATGGTCAAATGCTCAAAAGATTATCCTCGTGCCCTAGAGGTTCAGAGAATTGCAGACTTTTGTTTGATGAAGTCTCCGTAGATGCAAGTGTTTGAGATAATTTTAATTTTCATATTTTGTGTATCTTAAAGTAATAGAAGTCATGATTTTCTTAGCATATATCTCACAAAAGTGGATATAATATATAGATTAAATGTAGTGCTCGTTAAGGTTACCCTAGCCATGGATATCTAAGAAAATTATCATTTTTATGTGTGTGGTTGAAGATGATGATGCTTGATATTCGATCCTCTTTCCAATCGTATTTAAGGTAAAGATAGATTTTTTTTTTCCAGATTTAATGTACTTCTTTTAAATATTTTTACAAGAAAGTATTTTATTAAATCATGGATACTTAAAATGGAATATATATTTTTTGTTCTATGCCTATGATGAAAGCTAAGATGATCAAAACTTAAAGATAAGTTTGAGAACCCAAGAAGCTAGGGGTGAACATTCAGTTCAGTAGAATCGACTTCTCTCCTTTGAAAGAAGCCTCCTCTGCCTCTCTTTTGAAGCAAAGGAAAATCTGTTTCAGATTTAATATTTTTATTTTTATTTTATTTTTATTTTTAAATTAAAAAATATATAAAAATTATAAATTTTTTTAATAAATGTGCTAATCAATCTAAAAGTCTATATTTAATATAGATGCTTTAAATTTAATATAAAAAATTTAAATTAACTTTTTAGATATATTTGAACAATGTAAATATATTCTAAATAGAACAATAAATTTATTAAAATAATTTAATATTAATTTTAGACCATCTATATTAAATTTAGACTGTTAAATTGATAAATATATTTATTGAAATAATTTACATTTTATATATTTTTATTTAAAAAATAAAAATAAAAAAATTAAATCTAAACCGTCCATATTAAATCTAGACGGTTCAGATTTTCCTCTACCTCAAAGGAGAGGCAGAGGAGGCTTCTCTCAAAGGAGAGAAGCTGAGTCCCAGTTTGGTGTCAAATTTTTCAAAACCAATTAAACTAAATTACGCAAATATTTGGACTGAATTGAACCAAAATGGTTGATCAAATTGAAATACAACCAAACTGAGATATAATAGTTTAGTTTTCTCAATACTACTCGATTTATAAGTTCTAAATGCATAAAATCAACAAAACATTCAAACAATGCCAAACATTCAAAAAGGAATATATTCAGTAAGCCACTGTTGCAAGGCATTTAAAAATTGAAGAAATCAAAGGCGAAAATCAAGGCTTGTGGAAACCAAAACATTAAATTAAATCAGCAAAACATTCAAACATGAAAGGCAAATAAAAAAAAAATCATTAAGGCACAAAGAAACCCAAATGACAAATCATAGAGCTGCAAAGGCAATGAAGTCTTCAAACTGAAGCATAACAACTCAATGAGAAAGGGAGAGAGGGTAAGATTGAAGAAGAAAAATATAAGAGAGGTAAGAGATATGGTGAGTTAATGTAAGAGATATGGTGAGTTAATCATTATTGAATTGGTAAAGATCAATGGTATTGGAGCAGGAGATTGTGGCGGTGAGGGCGTAAGAGCTCGTTGGTAGTGCGGGGAAGGGACTCATTGACATCATTGAGAGCAGTAGACGTCGACTAGAGAGGGGTGAATGCGAAAGAGAACCAGAGAGCGAGAGAGGTTATAGGGAAAGGGAGAACGCAAAAGAGGGAGTGAAAGTATGGGGAATGAGGATTAAAGTTTCATATATTCTTATTAGTTAGTTTATAAATTTATAAATTTACTTTTTTAAGTATAAAATTAAAAAGAATAAAATAGAATAAAGTAATTAATAAGCTATATATAATTTATAAATATATATATATATATATATATATATATGATAATTTGGTCCGTCTATTCAATTTTAAACTTACTAACTAAATTGAACTAATCAAATTTTCCTTTTTAAAAAATTGAATTGAACTAGAAAACTAAATAGATCAAATCAAACAACAAAATTTAATTCAATTCAGTTCAATTTTTAATTTCAATTTCAATTTAATTTTGCTCACCCTTACAACAAGCTGCGCAGCATCTGGATGTTGGAGGCATCAAAATCACAAAGATGGAAAAACTGAAACTTCTGCTCATCTTAGCTTTCTTCATAGGCATAGACACATCGTTTTTGTTCGTGGCTTTTGATTTAAATTAAATTTTAAGGCAAATAACTAAAGTGACCTTAATAATTATGTTAAGTAGGGCAGATTCACATTCTCTTCCTTCATTTCTATACATTAAAGGCATTTTTAGTCATGATTTTCATATTTATTTGATCCTAATTTTTATTTAAGTCACATCCATGGTCTTAATATGAAATTCTCCTTTTTTTTCATAGAATTTGAAAAATTCAAATCTAAACTAGGAAAAATGACTTGAGGAAAAAAAAAAGAAAATCGAATAAACATAATATGATTCTAATTATATTAATTAAATTAAAATAATAAGATTAAAAAAATAATTTATTAATTTTAATTGAAAAAATATTACAATAACTAATTATCATTATCATGATTTCTCACCCATGAACATTATTTAATTTAGAGATACAATTCTCCTTATTATAAAATATTCGATCAAATATCATATCATTTAGGCGTATCTGTTTCTTTGGCTGTTGCCTTCTGAATTGATAGCAGTACGCTTTGGCCCAAAAAAACAAATTTAGGCGTATCTTTTGAGGAAAATCAAAGATTTCATTCCAAACCATGAAAAATCCATCCCCTTCTTTTCGCTGAAGAAAACTCAATCCCTTTTAGAGTTCTGCCGTCTACTTGACTTTTGGGAAAATAAAGATGAAGGACCTGATAAAATTTATATTAGTCAAATATTAGTTATTATCAAAATTTAAATGAAAAAAAAACTAATTGAACTGTTATTAATTTAAAATAAGTTGTTAAAACTGAATGAATATTTATTGATAAAATATTAACTTGAATGTATCTATTTGAATTTTGATAACAAGTAATTAGTGATTGATATAAATTTCCTCCAATGATTCTTGATTAATATTTTCTCTTGATTTTTTTTTGAGGCATTCATACAAAATTTATAATGTACTTAACCTGAGTAGTTAAAAAAGAAACCTAATTAAGTATATAGTTAATTACAAAAATTCTATAAAAAGTTGAAAAGCAGAGTTAACTGCGCTCACGTTTCTTTCATTTCCGAAGAGCTTGGAATATAAGAAAATCAACATTCAAATAAACAAACGAAAAGAAGCAATGGTGTACAGGAAGTATAATATATTATTGATATGTTGATTATTTCATAGACGATGATGTCGATACCGAGATATAGTCATCGATTTAAATGAACGATTGGGAACACAAATGACACTGCTATGCCTGTGGAGAAAGCTAATAAGAAGATGAGCCGAAGTTTCAGCTTGTCCATCTTTCTGATCTTGAAGCTGCTCACACGTTTAGGGCCTCGAAAAGGTCATCTTCTTCCACCACAAGTAACTGATTATATTCTTGGCCAGAAATTGCAGCTTCCATAATATCTTTGGGGCTAATGATGACACCATCATCATCATCATCTAAGAACAATTTAAACATATTCTTTGAAAACCCACTCACCAGTGCCACACCTTCTTGATTACTTTGCATCGGTGTTGCCCTAGACACTCTCAGATTCCAAAAAACTATCTGAGGCACAGCGTTTTCATACCCCTTTTCTCTGAACTTTCTCCTAATAGCTTCATAATCAGTTTCCAAAATATCTTCTGATTTCCGTTCGCCATCAAAGTCCATGTCACTGAAAACAAACAACCTCTTAATCATTTGGTCCTCTTTTAGATTCCCATTCACAGCCACCTCTAATATTGTATCAAACACCTTCTGAAAACTAAGGCTCATTGTTCTCCTTCCCCCCCCCCCCGGCCAGAAATCATCAGGGTTTATTAGATTTCCCCCCTCAAGAACTTTGTCTTGGACATCAGGTCTTCTTTTTCTATCAAATGTAGCTGTGGGTTCTGATTATAACCAAATGTGATTAGCTTCCCCTTCCATGGCTCTTCACTCATTTCAGATACCAATAGTCCCAATGCCACAGGCATTCTTCCCATTCTTGTTGACACATCACAGATGGCCAAGCTGTTCCTCATCTTACCTTTAGTGACCAAGTCTTCCACCATTCTCTTCCTCTGCAACTCTTCCACCCAGCCATGGCGGGGAATCAATTTACCGGCGGCGATCGTGGACTTGCCGGATTCAACAGCTTTCAGATACCTTTTAAATCCCTTCCTGTCGTGCCGCATAAACTTGCCTTTGTATCGTTTCATCGCCAGTGAGGAAACCTTGTTGTATGGAATTAAACGCCATTGATTGGCTCCCATGTATATCTCTGGTAGCTCTAGAGCTTTCCTCAGTGGAACCAGAATTTACTTTCTTAAACGGTCACGAATCCTGTAAGTATAATGGGCTTCTTCTAGGCCGTGATATTCAGGATACGATTCTCGAGGGAAGATTCTTCTTGCGATGCTTTCACAGAGAAGTGTAGAGCGATCGAGTGAGGAATCAAGAGAGGGACACCATTTGGCTGCGAGGGTGATCTTTTCCGATTCACCGCGTCTCAGAAATTCTATATCAGCCTTTAAACATTCAGCAAAATGATCGGAGATGCAATCGTACAGGAAGCGAAAGTGGGGATAACTTCGATATGTCTTCACGAGTTTCTCAGCCATGGCTAATCTCTTTTCTTCTCTGGTCACTATTTTCTTGTACTTTTCACACCTTATGCTGAAGAGCTTCTCCCACATTTTGCTGATTCCTTTTCTTCTGTGCCAATCTTGTTTTTGAACCTTTCGCACATCAAGACCTTCCAAGATTATGTAAAGAATCTCAGGCAAGTCCTTGAAGCAGCCAAACTTCGGCAAAGAAGGGACGTTGAACGCGAGGGTTTTGGGATGATGAGTGTGAAGCCAAATGGCGGCGGCGTAAAAACCCTTCCTTGTCGGCTTTTCCAGTTCCTTGGACTCCCCGGAGGTTGAAGATGAGCTTGAGGGTGGTGAGCGGATCATGGGACCAAGCTAAGTGAAGCCTTTGAGTCAAAGAAGAAGGAGGAGTATCAGGAACGACATGAAAGAAGAAATCAAGACATGGATCGCCGGTGGAGAGGAAGGTGGGAGAATAATTCTCGGTGAAGACCTTATTCTTGGTTTTGTTAAATTCGGCCAAGTAGTCGGAGTTGTAGATCTCTGGAGGACCCACAGGAATAGCCACGTGATCGTCCGACGACTGTGAGATGATGAAACCAACGAGGAAGAGAGAATGAACGAATAGGCTTTTATTGCTGAAACCTGAAAGCTTTTGCTTCGGCACCAAGACACATGAAGTTAAAACAATTAATTAATTTAAAACCAGAGGAATGGCCATTTCAATATGTGTGATTCTAATTTCTTTTACCAGAAATATGGACTTTCTCATTAATGAAAATAAATACTCCTTTGATTAAATCATTTTTAATTAAATCTTACTTTCAAATAAATAGTTTATCTACTTTTAAACTAACTCTATCTTTATATATTTACCTTTATTAAACACCTTATAATAAATATAAAATTATTTATCAAAAGAGATATGTTTGGATAAAAAAGCAATAATTATACTTTGAAAAATTAAAAATACCTTACATTATATTTTTAATATCTAACTCCTCAAAAAATACCTTATATTTTTAAATGGAGAAAGTACCTATGTTATTCTAAGTTTTGAATTTAGAATGAAAAATAAAATCTGGCATTATTTTAGGGGTTCTCCTAAATGACAAGGTGGAATTGGTTTCGGTGCTCATCCTAAGATGAGTACTGTGGTGCTCAGCACCAAAAACACTACTGTTTGCCAGTGTTTTTTTTTTTTAAATCGCAAACTTATTATAATAATTAATAAATATTATAAAATTATTATTTTAATATTTAATAAAAAAATAAATACTAAGATGATAAAATTAAATTAGAGTAGCTCAAATTAAATTTTTAATTTGAATAGTTTAGAATTATACTGAAAAAAAATTTAAAAATGATTTGAAGAGTTTAAAATTGGGGTTGAATTTAGCAAAATGAGTTAATTTCTTACACGATAACAAATCAATATTTGAATTCTTGTTAAGAAAAGTATCTATATTTAATATACGATCATGTCTTAAATAATATTATTTTTCATAGATAAACAACTATGCAAAATTAATAAAATAAAAAATAAAATATTTTTTGTTTCAATTCTAATTTTTTCAGTACAGTTTTAAACTGTTTAAATTAAAATTTATATATGAACTGTTCAAATTAAATTTTAATGAGTCAAACTATTCAGATTCAACTTTAACATTTTAACATTTTATTTTTTATTAAATATTAAAATAATAATTTTATAATATTTATTATTATTATTATTATTATTATTATTATTATTATTATTATAATGAGTTTGTGATTTAAAAAAATAAAAAAAAAACATTGCCAAATGGCAGTGTTTTGGTCCTAAACACGACGCATGAGCGCCGAAACTGAGCCCATGACAAGGTATAGATACGTTTTTTTTCCCGCCCCCCTTAAATACGACGAGAGAAATCCAATTTAAACAAGCAAATTAATTAAAGTTGAATATATATATATATATAATTTTATTCTATTTATTTAAATTAATTTAATTTAAAACATGAAAACTTCGTTAAGCATATTTTTCTGCTGCATTAATATTAAAAGACCTGATATATCGTGGAAGAAATAGAAATAGAATTAATAGATTTAACTAGTAATTACTATAATTGTGTACTTTCTCTTTTGGTGAGCTGCTTCTGATACAAATTTAAAAGTCACAAAATAATTCGGATTAAAATTTCAAATGTAAATAATTAACCATTTGGAAAAAATGGGAAAATGCAATCCATCTATATATATAATTAGGATGTCAAAGCACACATGTCAACACATTGTCAGCGCATTTGAGGATTAATTTATTCTTCGTTAATTCCCCGTACATGCCAAGTCATATCAATATATTTTACATATTAAATTATTTTAAGAGTCAATTTATATTTTAAAATTTAAAAGACTTCGTATGATAATTTAAAAAAATATAAAAAACTAAATTGATAAAAATTAAACTTCTAGAACCGAATTGATAATTGAAACAAATTTGAGAGGCTAAATGTGTCGTTATCCATATTTACATTATATGAAAAATATAGGACAAATTACATATAAATTCCATGAAAGCAACTTATTTAAAAATAAATCTCGCAAAATTTAAAAACTATGGGTAGGTCTTTTGAAATATAGTTAAGTGTAATTTAAAGTTAGAGTGAGATATATTTATTTATTAGGTTACAATGACAAAGATATCCCTCTATCTAAATTAAATAGTAAGCTCGCACTTTTCACTAGTCTGCCATACTATCGGATGCATTGTTCTCCTTCATCATTATGCATATCGCTCACTTTGTTCACATCGCTCGCTCTCTTGGAATGTTAAGGCAAAATTCATGATCCTTCATCACAATCAATTGTGATCAACACTAATACTTCTTTTTGTTTTTATAATTGTTTTAATGTTAAAGGCTTTATCTGAATCAATTGTTAAGATTTCATTATTTAATTTAAATTTTATACACTTTAAGTTTTAGTTTCCATTATCCAGTATTTAAACTTCCTATAGACAATAATTTTTCTACAAACAATTATAAAAATGTTGCCTAAAATACAAATAGAGGACAGTTTTTAAAAGTAGCTATTGATATCTATTTTTGGATATAACTATTAAACAATCATTTGAAACTGTTGCCTATTATAATATTGGCAACAATTTTAACCTGTAGCATTTTATTTTTCAAATAAACGATAAGTAAAAACTATAACCTATGTAATATATATTTTTGAACTATTTATTAACTCTTTGGTCAAAAAAAAAAACCATTTATTAACTGTTTCATGTAGTGTTGAACGACAGCGTTTGCCTTACTTCTTTCGCTCCGCCCATCCTCGTTGTCTTCACAAACACAGAAGCAGAACCACATACCAGAGATGCAAGATGTAGCCCTAGCCTTCCCCCGTGCCCTTGAGTTCTCGCGTCTACCCTTTGCCACATTTGCCATGAAGTTCCGTCGTCAATGTAGATTTCTTCACCGTCAATCGAGATTTCTGTCCTCCGCTGTTGAACGAGTTCTCGCTCTGCCTCTGATTCCCGTCGCTCATGGATAGCCTCTAATTCACCTCTATCTCTGATTCGTGTTGCTCATAGGTAAAGCCTTTTCTGCTATGCCTTTTCTCGTGGTTCTTATATGTTTACAACTTCATCATATTGCTTGAGCTGTTGTTTGGTTTTTGATTCAGCAACTAATTTCAATGTTTATAGTTGAACTGATATAAACATGGTTCTGATTCTGAGGGTTTTGCAAAATTAAGAATTAAGAATGGAGTGTGAAGTAGAAGCAGTGTTGAGAAGAAGACAAGGATGATGGAAAGATGAGAAGCAGAATTTAGTTTCTCGAAATTACAGAGTTTTGTGAATGTTCTGTTAATATGTGTTGCTCTGTTCGTTCATTTTTAAATTGAGAAGAGAAATCTGAAGCTGGAAGTTAGTCATTTGGAAAAGGCTAAGGAACTTTATACCAAAGTATGGCTTTTTAATCTTCGTAACTGTCCCTTTAAGAGTTATTCTCTACAATGTCTAAAATTTTAATTTTCTCAGCATTTGTTCTCGAAACTGAGATCTGATTCCTTTGATAGTGGTTTTTACTCATCTTAAAACTATAACTAATTGTTTTGCTTCTAGTTGTAGTTCAAGGCAGCATGCTCACACAGTTACACAGTTTTGGACTTAGATACTGATATGAATTTTTAATTAATACCTTGCAAGTGTCATATGGAGCTACATACCTTGCCTTTTATTTGATATTTGCTATATGTGAGATGAGGCAACAATTGGGAGATCACAGAGGCGTGGGCCTAAAGGCAGCTTCATAGGTCAGCCATAAAGTTAAATAAGCATTAAGTCAATCACAAGGTTTTAATTCAGCTTCTTAGAGTTTTTGTTATTCGAGCTTTTTCATGTGCCAAATGCCAGCTCCCTTTTCTTTTTTTCTTTTTTTGGCAAAAGTGTTTGTGTCAATTCTATTAAACTATGTGCATGCTACCTTAAAATTTGTTAACTGGGATTATAATTGTTGTGCAACATGTATGTAGCATGTTTATGCGGAGTTGACTAGAGTGGAAGGGTGCTCTGCCAATTTATCATGAAAGGTTTTTTTTTATCTACCCATCTCACCTTTTTGTTCTTGTTTAACATTGAGCTTCATATGAATCGTAGTTGCCTTTGATTTTTTTTTTTTATCTTTTATCTGAGTTCATTTGGTTGGAGAGTATGGCATGGTGATCTGATAATGTTTTCTAATTTACCTCCTTTTTTTAAACTGTAGCAACTCTATTTTTTTTTTTTTGGAACCAAAACTATAGCAACTCTGTATCAGCAAAAGATGAACTATTTTTAAAGTGAACAGTGAAGTTCAAAATTCAATTAGGATGAGTTTTCTTAATATGTTCGTAGAATAAAGAGTGATATTTATTTATTTTAAGTAAGCCATTGAACCTGAGGTGATGAGATTTCGCAACTATTTGAAGAATTGAATGTAGTGTATATGAACTGAAATTCCACGCAGGGAATTGCTGAGGGAGGAGCCAAGCGACTTATTGAAGCTTTCCTCAGACAAAACTCTAGTGGAGGAAATTGAAGTGTAACAGTGCAGCAAAAACATAAAGTGATGTTCCTACCGTTTGCACTTAAATCTTGATGCATAAAAAAATATTCTTGGTTTTTATTGGTTATGTTTAGCGTTGAACATTCTTGTTTTCATTGGTTCTTTTTTTGTGCTATAAGTGGACTGTTTTGAACCTTTCATTTGGTTAAGAAGTCCTGTATTTAATTTCCATTTGAATTGAATTTTGTAGTGGGTATTTATTTTTTTCATGCTTGTCAGATTATATTTGTCTTCAAAACATAACAGGAATTTTTTTTTTCTTCACTGAATAGAGTTTCCAGACACTAGCATATTTGTGTTCTCATTTTCCCTTTTCTTTTCACTATCAGATTTGCTAATGAAAGAATTGAATTAATATGTTGTAATTAACAAGACCAAACTTAACAAGGTTAATATGGATTAAGATTGAGCATAATGCTTTTAGGTAAATATGGATTATTTTCCTTTGGTCAAAGGTTTAACATATTTATTGGATTGTGTAGGAATTGATCCAAAATTCATTAACATATCTTTTTTTATGGAGTGAAACAAGTTTGCCTTCCTCTATTGTGAATTTATACTTGCAAGCTTATTATTATTATTATTTTTTTTTTAATATCATGAGGCAAGATTTTTTATTTGATACAATATTTTATATTTTTCTCATGTAGGAAGGTGGTTCTAACTAAAGAGATTTTAATGAAGACCTCCAACAAAATAGTTGAAGAGATATAAATGAGGGTTTCCATTTACTTTGATATACAGACTTGCTTTCAATGTAATGTAGTGCTATTGTCATACTTACATTATTATATATATCCATTTGATCAAACCAAATTCTCTTTAGTGTGGCTGTGTATAAGCACATGGATTCATGTTCAAAAGTTTATGTACTTCACTATGTACAATATAATTATTATTGATTGTATTTCAATGCTACAACTGATCACTTAATCATGCTTCTTGAATTGTTTTTGTTATATATATTTATTTACCGTGACAATTGATATTTGACACATTTTTTTTAAAAAAATTAATGCTACATTTATAAGTTGTTGCCATTGATATTTTATTAAGCAACAATTGTCAATTGTGCTCTAAATAGATTTATATTTATAATTTAAAACTGTTGCGGATAGGACATTTAGGCTACAGTTGTTAAATATAGTAACTTTAAGCAACATTTCAAAACTGTTGCCTATAGTTAGCTAATAATTGTAGCTTATTTTATGTTGCTAAAGATTTTTGGTTACACTAGTTTAGGTAACAATTAAAAGATGTTGCCTAAAAGTATAGGTAAAAGTTTTTGCTACATTTTTTAAATATTGTTAGAAGGCAAAAATGTTGTTGTTAAAAAAGTTGCTAGGGACAGAGTAATGGAAAAGAGATATGATAGTTTGTAAAAAAATTTGAATATTTATAAATAAATTAAGAATTTTTGCTAATTATAAAACACAAAATAGGATATGTGAATAGGATTTATAAAATAAGAAATTCTACGTGTAAATTGTAAAGTTATAACTATAAATGAATAGTAAATACAATTTTAATATATTATTTATAAAATATGAAATAAGATTAATGAATTAAATTTTACTTATAAATTGTGAAGTAACAATTGTAAGTAAATTGTAAATAAACTTTCAGTCTACTATTATATTTAAAAGGTAATAGCATCTTTTCAACCCAATTTCAAATTACATATAAATTTTAAAAAACTTGATTATAGTTTTTAAATTTCATATAATTTATTTTTAAATAAATTGCTTTCACGGGATCTATTTGTAATTTTCTCAAAAATATATCTTTAGGTCTTTGTAGCATATTCCTATTTCAACTTTGAATTAAGTCCTACAGTTTATTTGAATTAGGTCTTCATAATTTGAAAATTAATTTTTTTAAAGAAAATAAATAATTTATTATTGATTTTTTAATTACAAAAATTTATACACACATATATAATGAATTAAATTATAAAGGTTTAATTAAAATAAAATAAACTATAGAAACTCAATTAAAAATTTAAAAAAACTATAAGAACCTGCAAATTAATTAATTTTTCCTAAAATATATAAAATATAAAATGAAAAAATATAAAATTAGGAGTAGCATGGTCAAATACAAACTATTTTTAATAATTATTCTTAATCCTTAAAACGAAAGCCAATGCATATCAACACATATTTATATGTAAATTGAATGTTATAAGATTTAATCAATAATTGGATCAGATTAAATACAATTTTTTAATATAGCAAATAGGAAGAAATCCCGGTGGTGTGGTTTCTTCTCTTTCTTTTTGTCATTTTTATTAGGTTTAGGGTATTTTTGATTGTGTTCTTTCTTTTATTTATTTGTTGTTTGTCGTACTTAATTCGTCGTTTTAAATCCTTCAATTTTAAATGATATTTCATGTTTCTGGCAAAAAAAAAAAACGGGAATAACTCCATTAATATGATTTTTTATTTGTATAGAAGAATTAATTAATGCAGCAAATCACAGCATAAATAAAAGCTAAATCAACGACCTGCGGATAAAATCTTAAAATAACAATATGATATTATCGAAAAAATAATTAGCTGATCGTCCACATAATAAGGAGAGAAAAATGTGCAGCTAACCTGACTTAATAATACAACAACTATTTTTTTTTTTTCACATCCATTCTTGAATATCTAAATCTGAATCCTAGTTCATCCATTATTCTTAAGTTCTTCTAAAGCCATCGCCTTCAACTCGTAGCCCTCCGGTCTCCGGCAGAAATCCAAGTAATTAAGCTTCATTCTGTAAAACTTCTCCGATATCCTCTTCTGTAATTTCTACTCATCCGGCGAAGCGATGACGTACGGCATGGCAAAAGTAGAGCCTAGACAGCGAGGGAGTGATAGGATTAGCAGCTTACCAGACCCCCTGCTTCATCACATCCTCTCTTTTCTTCCCATAAAAGAAGCCATATCCAAGAGCTTGATCTTGTCCAAGAGGTGGAGAGAGCTAGGGCTATCAATGCCCGCTCTTGACATTCACGACACTGGATTTTCTAGACCTGATGGCTTCATTCAATTTGTAGATGCAGTATTGTTCTTGTCAGATCCCAAACCGATAAACATGTTTCGTCTCAAGTGTGAGAAACTGAAGGTGCCTCTTATCAGGATTAATATGTGGATTAACTCACTGATAAATCGTAAAGTCGAGCATCTGGAGCTATGGTTTTTCATATTTAAATTCCCCTAGTCACGTTGATGTGCCTGCTTGCATTTTCCATAGCAGTACCATTAAGGTTTTAAAGTTGGCTCATGTTATGCTGAATGCTCGATATGTTAATTTGCCTTCACTCAAAGTATTGCATCTGGTGAAAGTTCAATTTTCAAATCCTGAATCGGCCATTAATATTCTTAATGGGTGTGCTCTTCTTGAAGACTTGGTATTAAAATCTTGGTCTACTAATAGATCCGTCCTCAGGATTGGAAGGCTTGAACATTTGGTGTCAGCAAAAGTTCATAATCCATCTTGGATTCAGTTGAAAGCTTTTAGTAATGTTAGGCTTCTTCAGATTGCTGATGAGGTACTAATAATGATTTATATTGTAGTGATTTTTCATTATCAAAATTGATGATATCCATAAAATTTTGTTTGTTTGTTTCTTTTTCCTAATGCAGATGGGGTGCATGCTACTTGTGTCTGATATTCCAACATTTTATAATTTAACTCACCTGGAAATCTTATGGCTAATTGATGATGGGAATAACTTTTTGGGATGTCTTGGAAGTTTCCCAAAACTTGAAATTCTTACTATTCATAAGGTTTGTTCATTTTAACTTAATTCATGCTCACACCACTTTTAGTTAGTTTTCTAACTGATATGTGTATTATGTTTTGTTAGCTGGATTTTAAGAGAAGCTTGAAGGATCATTCAATGCTTGATGTTCCTCAATGTCTTTCAACGCATCTTAGGAAATTTTATCTCGGTGAATATAGAGGATCGGAATGTGAGTTTGAAGTTGCAGCATTTATTATGAAGAACGCAAGTGTTTTGAGGGACATCTCCATTTGCAGTTCTAAAAAGGAAAATGAAAATTCGAAACTCCAAATGATCACAAGATTATCATCATGTCCTAGAGGTTCTGTGAATTGCAGGCTTTTGTTCCATTAATTTTCTGAAATTTATAGCAAATGTTCGTTTGTCATGTTTTTCTTTCTTTATTTTATTTTGGCTGATTTCCCTTCCGACTATCTTGGGCAATATTTTACGTTGTACATCATTATCATCTTAGAAACATATTTATCATATTTCAGGGCACTTCATGGAGTTTGTTTCAGTTGTGCTTCTGCTTGATGTGAGAAGATCTTCTTTATCTTTGGGCTGTGCAGATTTCTAACCTTTGTTTAGCTCATATGATATATTTCCTCCTGTTCAAAACATCTTTTCCAACTAAACTTGGTTCATAATAGAGGACATTCGATATTTTTTGATTTTTTTTTCCAAATTTACCCATGTATTAATTAATGTGAGCATGAGACATATATTTTGATTAATTATACTTCTTCTTACTTTTCTAATAATGATGAATTGGATTTAGTACTAAAGCTTCTTCAATATATTGTATGGAGAACTTGTTGAACCTTTGACTAGATTATGGAAATTAACTAAATTGTAAATGAATAGCTGGTTACTATCTCTCATATAATTTGTCTTTATTACTTTTAATTTTCTTATATACCAAACAAGTATTTAGACTAAACAAATTGCATCTTATGGAATGCTTATTTCTAGCTATTTACTTTTCCGTTCTCATTTTTTTTTTCAATTTTATAACTGATGGTTCTTAAAACTATTATTCAATAATTATATATTCAAAGATTAAATATAAAAATTATTTTTTATTTATTTTTTTTAATTTTCTTTCATTCTATTAATATGTAATGGCTTTACAAAAAAAAAAATTAGGTATGTTTGGTTGGAGTGGAAGGGAGGAAGGGGGGAGGCATTTTGCTTCCTTCTCCTTGTTTTGGTTCAAAAAGATGGAGGAAAGGTATTCTCATCCTCTTGTTTGGTTAAAACAACATTGAGGGGAGAAAAAAAAAAGGTAGCATTTGCATTAATGAATTTAGATTTAAAATCTCGAATTCAAAATTCTTTGTTTGGATAAAATGAAGAAGAGAGATAAGTTGATATTCAAAACAAAAATAAAAATTTGAAAGTGATAAGCTTGCCAATATTTTTCAATCAACGGGAGATAAGAAAACATACAAGAGTCATAAAGATGTCAATAATAAAAATACAAAGAAAATGATGTGTTTGAAGTGATTGAAATTTCAAATAATTAGTGTATTAGAGGAATTTTGAATTAAAAAGAAAATAAAAAAAGAAATGGATTTGAACCAAATCTAAATCCATATCCTTATTAATTCAAACACACCATATGAATTTCCCTTCCTGACACTCTCTTCCATATTGAAGGGATTTGGATTTGGATTAAGGATTATTAAAATCCATCCCCTTCATATAATACCTTCTCTTTCCTTTCTTCCAAAAAAATTTTCTTGCCTCCCTCTTTTTTTTTCTATTGAACCAAACACTATGTTAAACGTTAGCTTTTCTTTGCCTATATAAGAACATCATTGTTACGTAGCAATGATTTCAAAACCAGACTTAATGGTCCAACTAGTTGGACTACTGGCTGATCAATTTAATAACTTGATTTGAACCATCTAGCAATTTTAGCTAGTGGACCACTGCTAACAAGTAGTTGGACCACAAACCGCAAAAAAATCTTGAAATAGTGGTTGAATTAGGTGGCTCAAATTTCATATTTTCAAGTTACATAACAATTTCATTTTTTCTTATATTTATATTATTACACTCACACTTGCATATTAATTTAATTACATATATATGTATATATAAATTTAATTATTATAAACCGTGAACAACTAGCCTTTATGGTTTAATGTCCATTCTAGTTCTGAAAATATTGTTAGGTAGTTTATAACTATTTTTGTAACTGTTGTTTAACTTATAAGGTGAAATATGCTCCAATGTATGAGGTGGGATCCTCCCACCCACCCACAATGTATATATGTTTTTGTCGATGTTCTATCTATCTTTTGACTTTTTGCGATAAAACTAAAGTCAAAGCTTTTCCTTTAAAAAAACAAATTGGAACATGTTTGTTGAGAATCCATTAGGAATACATGCCATTATCCAATCTGATTGGTAGGGGATTATTGGCCATTAATTTGAAGCCTGAGTGAATGTTGAGCACTTCGTGTGATATGAATTATGGATGTATAGAGCACTCACCTCTTGCTTCATTGGATCATTGTCCCAATATTATGCGGTTCTCCTATCCATCTTTGATTGAAAAGAAGGTTTCGGGATGGTTGCAATTCTAGTGTTTTATGATCTCATTTATCATTTTGGTCAGTGTTTCAGATCTTCTCAAAACATATCATTTTTTGTATATGACTTTTTGACTGTATCGTATTTAAGCATTATTAGGCTCAATTAAGAATAGTTTTAGAGCAATCAATACATTCCATCAAACTACCCTTCTAGGCTCTGTAAAAATTGAAGGCTGGCCTTAAAAAATTAGGAGATTTTGATATACAAGAGGGTTGTTAGGCCCTCTTCTTATAAACTACTCAAAAACAAGCTGAAACTCAAGCTTGGACTATCTTGTAAGCCCATATAATTTTGTTTTAAACTTTTAGTTGAAGAAACAAAACAGTTGGGTTTAATAAAAAGGGCTAATATCTTATAATATGGCAAACTAATATTTGAACTTTTGCAAGAAGAGATGTCTACACTTAATTCTCGACAATACCTTAAATATGATTGCTTTCAATAGGAAGATAATTGTAGTTAACCTAAAAAAAAAAAAACCATAACTTTGAAGACTAAAAAATATTATGCTTTATATTATATTTTAGGGTTTATATTATTTTGTTTACACTTCGAAGCTTATTCTTAAGGTACTTTAACTTTATATATGTATTAAAATAAGAAAAGAATGATACTGGCTTTTAGGTCCATCCCTGAGTCATGTCAATAAATGTCAAACTTGAGAAAAATATTAATTTTAGTGCAAACTTTTGAACCCATAGGCGTCAGGCTAATCCTTATTAATAATTCAAGATTTTTTGCATTCACATGAACTCCTAAAATTTGTGTTTTAAGTGACCACAGCTATTTCTACAAGCTGCCATGAACTGCAAGGGGTAACATGCAAGCCGTTGGGACAGAGGTTCATCCCCATCTCTTTTTACCTTTGAAATAAAAGATAAAATGTTTGAAGAGAAATGAACTGGGGGAGAAAAAAACATTCTGTGAGGGTGTTGAATTCTACATTGATGTATCGCTTAAATGGCTGGCTTCACACTTTCTCTATATTTATTTTTTGTTACGAGCTTATCATAACTAAACACATTTAATTTCTATGCATTCCATAAAATCAGTGAGGTAGATTTTATTAATTACATTGAATAATATTGACATATATAACAGTATGGAAATAATAAAAATCATATAATATTTTAATATTAAAAGCAGTATCAGCCAAATTTGAAAATAATAATAAAGTTTCCATCTACGAATAATCAAAAATTGATGAAATTTTAAAAATGTTATATCCTTTATATTGTAGATTTTTGCCTTTTTAGGGTTGGCCGCCATATTTTTTTGACGGGGACAGCCATTTTCCCATGGTTAATTGGCCATTTACTTTGTTAATTTCCTTTTGACTATTATTTTTCTCCTTTTCTTTGACAGAATCTTTTCCTAGATTTTCATGCGTGGATTCCGGATCCACTGATTGCTACTATTTCTGATTAATATTGTTATTCTTTAAAGAGGAAATAGAGATCTTAATGTTCGGAAAATCATGTGGGCCAACATTTGCCACCAACCTCTTTTAAAACAATAAGAAAATTATGACAGTATTTTTTTTTGAACCATACTAAGGCCTCGTTTGATATGATAAAAGAATTTTTGATGAAATTAAAATTAGAATCAAAATTAGAATTGAAATAAAATTGAATTTTAAAAAAGTGTTTGGTACGAAAATGAAATCCTTAAAATTTATTAAATTGAAATAAAAATATATACTTAAAATTTGAAAAGACCAAATTGCCCTTTTCAAGATTAATGGTCTTCTTTCTCACCCTCGACGCTATTAGCTCTTCTCCACCTAGTATCCCACTGCAACAGTAGCTTTCTCAAGAATTTTGAGTGATGCAAGGGACAAAGCACCCATCGCACAGATGAAGAATGCCACATCATTGCTGGACGATTTGATCGCAAATTCCCCACAAGCACCTTGATGAGCGTTCTTAGCCATGGACGCCAAGTCTTCTGCCTCGGAGCCAAAGTTTGCAAAGAAAGCTTGAAACCTGGTGAGTGCTTTCAAATCCTGAGGATTGTTGTCCCAAGCACTCAGCTAGCCTTCGATTTTGCAACCACCAAAATCGCTGACCCTAATGAACGTTTGACAACTCTAGCTCTTGATTTCACGGCTCATATTGAATCATCTATGGATGCTTGTAGTGGTGGCCATGAAGGTTCGATTCATGAAGGGGACGGCGGCGAAGGGATTATGTGGGGTGTGTGCAGGCAGTAGGCAGAATGATACTGAGGGCCAAAATGTCCAGGAGATGATTCCATGACAATTCTATCGTGCTTGTGATGGAATCCAATTCTAGCCATTTTGTTGGAATCTTGATTCTTAAGAATCCAAATTCTATCATACCAAACATGTTGAAAACTAGATTTTGTGTCTAATTCCATTTCTACAAGTAGAATTTTTACATACCAAACAAGGCCTAAATTTTTTTTCCAAAAGGTTGTTATAAACTATAAAAAATTTCAATAAATCTCTATTAATATATATATATATATATATTCTTAATTATAAAAATCAAGTAATTGCAAAAAGTAAAAGAAAACATATATAATTACCAATGAATAATAAGGGTTTTGTTTTTGAAACAAGTATGTTAAATTCTCAATCTTGCTGTATTTCTCGAAATCATAATATAAGACATCTTTTAAAATTCTTGCTTAGTTTAAAATATAGGGTATTAAGTAACTTTTATAATTATTTTTTTAACTATATCCCTATTTCATTATTACTCTTTTTTTAAAAAAATAATATATTGAAATTTTAATTATTATCATTAAAGAACTTATATGGAGTATTTAATGATAGTAAAATTGAAAAGATGTAAATTTTTTAAGAAATTAAGGTTTTAACTAACATTTTTTAAAAAACATGAATTAATTATTAATGCCTTATATTTTGATTCGGAAGGAGTATCTTTGGATCAGAGATGTTTACTTACTATTTACTTATAATATATGTGTTCATATATATATATATATATAATACCTAGAAAAAATTCAATTTTTTTGGTTGAAGTATTACAAAAAATACTTATTTAATTTTAATAATTAAAAAATGTGTGATATTCTTTTTCTTTAACATAATTATACAAGCCAATGAAGGGTTGATCTAGTTGGCAAATGGCAAGGATTCTACTCATATAACATAAGGAGATGGGTTCGAATGTCATTATTAATTTGAGGATCAAAAGCCTTATTGGTTGACAATTTATAAGTAACTTCATATAACATTATTTGAGCTTGAGGCATGCTTGAATAACCCTGACGATGATATGCAAGATCCAACTCATCACATAAATTTTAAGTGATGATGAGAAAATAGCTATGCAAAATTTTAAATGGAGTAAAATAATTAAAAATGAAAAAAGGAAAGGAAGTGAGGGGTTAATGGAGAGTTGGGTGACATGTTGTGGGGATGGCAAAGAGTCGGTGGGTGGGCCGTTGTAGCCACTTTTCTTCTGCAAATGTGCCTTCTGACGCTTTCCCCACTTTTCCCCTCTCGTGCTCCATTCCGACCCAACTTCCCATCATCTCTTTTCCTTTTTTTTTTTTCTTTTTCTGAAATAATCAATTTAAATGCGACTCATACAACCACGTGTCGAAGGAGGGTTCGAACCCTGAATCTCACACATGCAAAGAAGTAGAGTCGATAATTCAAACGACTAATCTTATTTAAATTAGACTTAATTTGTATTGGACTTCAAACATTCTATCCTCTTAAAAAAATGATATAGTTAAGCCCGACTATAATTTTTTTCGATTGGGTTTAAGTCGGCCCGTTAGGCTTGCCAAAATTACTAACTTTACATACATATAGAGATATAAATTTTAATGATCAAACTTATTTAAGTCGGACTCAATTCAAAATGGGCTTATTCAGATTGGACTTAAAGTATTCTATCATCTTAAAAAAGCTCATATAGTTAAGTCCGGCTCTAACTTTTTTTAGACGAGTTCAGTCTGGGTTATTAAGCTTGATCCAAATTACTAGCTGTCATTGACAAGATCCCTTTTCTTTTCTTCCTTTTTTTTATATGAATAAATATATATCAAACCTTTTTTTTTTTTTACATTAACACTGATTCTGTAAACTATAGAGTTTGCAATATTTGGCAAGCAAAAAAATTTTTTTAGAAAAATGATATATATATATATATATATACACACACGTGTTCAATTTTCTTTCTAATTATAATTTTCATTTTCTTTTTACAATACACTTTTTGGTATACTCCCTCTGCTAAAAAATGTAAGGCATTTTTTGAGGAATTTGATGTTAAAAAATATAAGTCATTTTTAGTCTTTCAAAATATAATTATTTCCTTTTTTTAAAAAGTTCCCCTATTGATGAATGGATTTATATTTATTATAAGGTATTTAATATGAATAAATATAAAAAGATAGAATTAGTTTGAAAGTAACTATTTTATTGAGAGTAATATTTAATTAAAAATACTTTATATTTTTAAACAGAGGGAGTATCAAATACGCACTTAATATTTTTTTTTTAAATAAAGTTTGAAGTTTAAATCTAAAGTGCACTCCGAAAGTACTCTAACTGAGATTAATCTCTGTGTTGGTAACTCTCTAATATATATACATAGCATCTTGGAGTTAAAAGTTATACATTGCTGAATAAACTTCATTCATTAACCAGAGGTCATGAGTTACTATGCAGCAACTATTAAATTCTTGATGAGAGGCGTGTCTCTTGAAAAGATACTCACAAGCTGCTATCAAATATTCACAAGCTGCTATCAAATATTCAAATTAGTATGGACCAAAGACGAAGTCGACCCGAGACACCAAAGCTCTAATTGGGGGGGGGGGGGGGAAGGTATATGCATTTGGTTAAAATTAGTTATTACTTTCACCAAAATTATAGTTTGGGTGGTTTCAAACTTATGCTTTAAAAAAGCTATGTCCTTTAAAATCTGACTCAGGAGTCACAATTAATATTAATAGTGTAATAATATCTATATATATATATATATCAAGTGGCTGTGAAAATAAAAAAGGAATTTTTATTATTTTCTAGAAAATTATTTCGTTAAAAAAATGTGAAATGCATCTATCTTAGTTTTTTCTAGATTTATTTCGCACTTTTTTAAAAATTATTTTTCCATGTACCAAACATGTACAATAATTCATTCCTAATGTCAGCTTTTTTCTTTGTTGTTTTAATGAATTAGCTGATTCATCTATGTTACCATTATTTTCTGCCAAAAAAACTATAGTAACATTACGAATAGATTATACTATAGAAAATCATTAAATAAAACCCTTATTAGATTAAAAAAGGGATAATGTAACTTTTAATTTCTTAAATTTGTCTCAATTATTGATTCAATTCCTAAAGTTTACTTTTTATCAATCTAGTCATTTAAATTTGCCTTGATTATCGATTTAGTCTTTATTGATTGAAAAAAAAATAAAACTATTAAAATTTGCAGACATACATGTGTAATAAAATATTGATGGTAGTCATGTAAAGTAATGAAATAAAGTATAATTATTTAGTTATGAAAAAAATAAACCTTGTAATTTTTTAAAACTAGTTAACAGAAAACAATTATGAAATGGATTATATTAATAAAAATTAAACTAATTTGAGAATTAATTTATTCTCATTTAACCACACACACATGTAAAGTTATCAATATACTTTATATATTAGATTATTTGAAGAGTCAATTTATGTTTTAAAATTTAAAAGACTCGTATAGTAATTTAAGAAAATATAAGACACCAAATTGATAAAAATTAAATTTGAGGGATTAAATTGATAACTGTAATAAACTTGAGGGACTAAAATTTTCATTATATCTTAGAAAAACTTTAAGTATTAAATAGCTATACATCAGTCAAAACCGAATAGTATTAGTTAAAAATTAATAAAAAGTGAATTAACAATAAAAATTGGCGAAGAACCAACATGTATTTATTTTTTATTTTTATATATAAAATTGGAAGCATATGTATTTAATCACAAATGATTTTTTAACATGGTTTAATAAGGGTTCAATGACTTAGATACTTGGATTTAGGATACAGTTAGAGGAATTCATATGGGGAGACGAGAGTTGAATAATTTCTAAGCATAATCTATTGCATTTTTTTCTCTTCAATTAGGTATTATATAATGCCTTGAGAAAATCATGCGGATGTCAACTGTCTTTCAATTTATACTTCGATATGGTAAAAGAAATGTGGAGGTTTTACTAACAAAGGTTTGTCAAATTGGCAAGGTTTGGTCCATATATAACCTACAAGGTTGTGAGGCCAAATTTTACCATCGATGTGAGTATCTTATTAATGTATAAGTGCTCTTTAAACTTAAAGGCATGTTGTATCTTTGGTGAGTCCTTGGGATCTAATTAACCTATATATATATATATATATATATATGTAAAAGAAATTTGGAAGTTTTAATTATTTTACATACATATATATATAATATCAATGTTTCTGCTCATTTGATGAATGATGTCGAGAATAAACAAATAATGAAAAAAAAATACTTCTAAAAACTAAAATATATATGTTAAAAATGTTATCCCATTTTTAAGGCAAACATTATTACTGAATTTTAAAAGTAACTAATGTTAGTTGGGTGGAGTTAAATTGACTCGATTATCATTTAAGTGAAATTAATTAAAGTTCAAACACTAATACTGAATATTAAGTAGTTATATAAAACTACATTAAATTATATATGTATTTGAAATAATTTAATGTACTAATGAAAACTGACAAAAAAATCTTTAAAAAAAATTGACTTTTGCCTTTTACTTTTGGCGTGAACAGGAGATTGAATTATTAGGTGCAGTTTGGTGTGGTGAAGCAAACCAACATAATAGATAATTGGTGTGTGCCGGCAATCCCCACCCAAATGCAATTCTCAAAAGTGATTACACAGAAGACAGAGAGAGAGAGAGAGAGAATCAGTGCTATTCATATGCATGCATGTCCTTCTTCCTTTTTCTTCTATAAATATATTCCCCACCTCATTCCCCACAAAAACACTTTTCATATCCTTGTTTCAATATATGCAAAATCAAAATGATAAACTCACAAAAATCTCTCCCCCTAATCTTGCTCTTCACACTACTAACAATGTCCTCCAAGTCATCAACCATCGCAATAAGGCTTCATCCCAGAAGAAATAACACTTCATCACCACCTTCTGCTGCTGCTGCTCCTCCTCCTCCTCCTTCATCGTCTACTTCTTCAGGTGATTCAATCTTCTAAGTAGTGCTAACCATAATATCAAAATCTCAACTCAGCTGGTTGAACAAGTAATCATCCGGTTCAATAATATATTTTGTTTATAATTGGCCTGACAATATCTTGATCAGTTCAATGACTAGTTTAGTTTTTGTTATCTTAATCATGTTGTTCATCTTGTCGTAGATTCAGGCAATGAGAAATTTTGTCTGAGTTGGAGATTAGGAGTGGAGGCGAACAATGTGGTGGCGTGGAGGACAGTGCCAACAGAGTGTCAGACAGAGGTTGAGAGTTACATGATCGATGGACAGTACGAGGGGGACTTGGATTTGGTGATGCAACAGATCTTCACCTTCCTCGATTCTATTCCAATCTCTTCTAATTCTTCCTTCGATGCCTGGGTCTTGGACGTTGACGACACTTGCCTCTCCAATCTTTATTACTACAAAACCAAGAGATTTGGGTACGTGTATGTGTCATCTCACTCTTTTCACAATCTCATGAATACTTTTAGAGGGCATAATAAGAAAGATATTGGGGGAAAATAAAGCAATGCATGGTTGGGGTCTACCAGAATTATAATTTAGTGGCATGGAATTTACCTTTCTTGGTGACAAGCCACGGACCTAGTCTTGCCGGCTCCCAGTGCTTAACCTGTCCTCTATACTAATTAAAAAGAGAAACATTAGCTAGTGAAGATAAAATTTGTATTATATCTTGATGGGACAATCAAATGTTAAATAGTAGAAAATAATTTCTTTAGAGTTTTCATATAAATTGCCTCCACACCCTGTAACATAGGTTAGAGTAGATCCTGCCCCACGTTCTCTTGTTCTCTATAGAAAATGTAACATACTGGTCAAGTAGAAAATCTTAATCTAATTATAAGTCATATATATATATATATATATATATATAATCTCTCTGTGAGAGAGAGAGAGAGCCGCTTCATAGTTATGGAGTCCCTACCTCTAACTTTTCAGGTCTTCAATCTTTTCCCACCCAAGTATTTGTCTATTCACATGACAACAATTAAATCTAAAGACCCAATTTTAAAATATTTAGACTAAACTAATTGAAAAAACTTGCTCGATCTATATCTGATAAAAAAAAAAAATAAAGTCATTTACAATAGGTTTTGTTATATTATATTGATAATTTAAAAAGTTGAAACTACTTTGAACAAAAGCAACATTAGTACTATAAAGTTTGACACATGAAAGAGGTAATTAATTAATATTATGTATATAGGTGTGAGCCATATGATCCAGCAGGGTTTAGGGCGTGGGCAAGCAAAGGAAGGAGCCCAGCAATACCGTCAGTTCTTGAATTATTTAAGAAACTCACAGAAAAAGGATTCAAAGTGTTCTTAGTCAGTGGAAGAGACGAAGAGACTCTTGGTCAAGCCACCCTCAACAACTTGCGCAATCAAGGCTTCTTTGGCTACGAACGTCTTATTTTGAGGTAATTAATCATTTTCAGACTGTATATATATAGTTCTTGTGTTTTCTCCTCCCGGTTTAAGAATTCAAATTCAAGATCAACAATGAATAAATCTTTAATTTGTTTTAATTTCACTGATAAAATCTCTACTATATGTTTCCTATCATCGCAACATGTGTTGTTAATCATCTAAAGTCATTCCACTTAATGTAACAGAAATGACATGATTCGATGAAAAATGATGGATCAAAGTGGACGAGATTTTTCTTCTATTAGAAAAAATTAGGGTCTAATTAATTTCTGTTTTCTAAAACTGTTTTTTATTTTTTAAAAAATAAAAAAATTCTTTGGATAAGTATTTTGGATTTAAATATTTCTGAAATTGTTCTCATTTTAATTTTTGAAAGCATAAAAAATGAAAACATCTTATAATTGTTTTCATTTTTCATTTTTAAAATACAATGCATTTGATTATTATAAATTATCTTTAGTTGTGGTTAACCACTATCATAGGCCATTATCATCAAAAATTGGCAACCACCACCACCGGCTTTTTTTAACTCTAAATTTTTTCAAATTAATATAATCAAACATATTTTTATTTTGTTTTGTTTTAAAAAATAATTTTTAAAAATTGAATTACAAAATAGTTTTGTAAAACAAAAAAGAAAACAAAACCAAACAAGCCCTTAATCTCCTAGTCATTATAGTTTTGATTCTGTTGCTAAAGCTCAATTCTTGAAAATTGATTGCAATTCAGTTCTTATAATGTTAACTTGATTTAAACTTAGTTCAAATTTTTAAAGCATTGACTCAATATAATTTAGTTCCTATAATTTTATTTGTTTAAACCATTGGTCCTTAATGTTCAAAAAACAACATCATCTTTTATAGTTTTTTTTAAATGTAGGAAACAACATTTTTATTAGTTAAAATTATAATAATTAAATTGTATTTACTTAAAGTTTAGGAATTTAGTTTTAATTGAGTCAAAATTATACGAATTGAATTTTAGTCAACTTAAAGTTCAATGACTAAGTTTTAACTTAATTAAAATTATAGAAATCTAATGATTAATTTTTCCTTGATATTATCATTAGATTGAAATCAATATAGCCGAACCTACCAAATAAAATAAGACTTCTTGTTGTTGTATAATTACTAGATTGAAACATACGGACTACGTACAATACTACTGAATTGGATTCTAATTAAGTAATTATTGATGGGGCTGTGTTTTGATGAATAATTACGTGTTTCAATTAATTAATCATGGTTTATATACGTGTGTGAGTGTGTGTGTGTGCAGGAGTGGGGAATATAAAGGACAAAGTGCAGTGAGGTACAAGTCAGACATAAGACAGAAATTAGAGAAGGAAGGATACAGGATTTGGGGTAACGTGGGAGATCAATGGAGCGATCTACGTGGAGACTCTATTGGCAATCGCACTTTTAAGCTCCCCAATCCTATGTATTTTGTTCCCTAATCAGTCATTAATTATGTTTCTTCTGTCTTTTCTGTGCTTTTGCAATAAGTTTGGAATTTCAATGTCTTGTGTCCGTGACTGTGTATATCGGAATAAAAATATTAATTTCCCTTTTGTCTTGTGTGAATAATCAATAATGTCCATCAAAAAATTAATTAAAAATAGTTATAGTCGGAGAGAAGACACCAAATCCTTAACTAGAAAAAGTAACCTATATGAGCCGATTTGTAATCAGTAAATATTTGACCGTCCCAGCACGATGATGTCATCGATTATCTTTCCCTTTTTTTTTTTACATGAATTTACGGGACAAACTCAGTTTAAAGAAGCAAGAGTAACTATTAATAATAAAGAAGTAATTAGAAAATATATTAGAGCATTTTGACCTAATGACACGAAAAAAGAAACTGAGAGATAGAAGAGAAAAGAAAGAATAAAGATTATGGACTTGAGGCATCTAAAACTTTAAAAAAAGAAAAGAAAGTCATCGTACCACTGCATGTGTTCATAATTTATGAATTATGTAATTATTTTAGTTTGAATATTTTATTTTATTTTTTTAAGGCACAAAGAGTATTTGCTCTTTCGAAAGTGTAAATAATTATTTAAGGCAAGAGATCCTACCACACAAGAAGTATATTTTATATAGTAATTAATTTATATTGAAGTGTGTGGATTAGAATTTTTTTAGATTTTGGTTTTTTTAATTTTGATATATTTTTTTACCTTAAAGAAGAATTGGAAAAAATGTAATTCATCTATTGATGTTTTTATTTTATTTTTACTTTATTATTTTTTAACATATTTCAATCTAGCTTCTATACAGAAATACCTGTATAAATCACCTATAGGTAATCAAACTAAAATCCTAATATTTAGATTTATCATTCGCTCTTTCTAGTTTCTAATTAAAAGTTAGTAATTGATTTCTCAATGCAATAAAATTCTTTTCAATTGTTAGTTTTAGATTAAAACAAAAAGGCATTTTATGGGGGAAAAAAGTCAAATTCCATCTTCAAAAAGTACAAGTGGTAAAACAATAGTATAACATAATTATTATGATGTTATTTTCGTTTTGAAATCCTTATTTGTTATTAACATATATAAGTGGACCATTAGGTCCATATATACTTTGCACGATGTTATATATCACATTAGTCAAAATTAATAAATTGATAATATAAGGAAAAATTACAGTAAGGTTCCAAAAAATGAATTAATAATAATTAAATCCTCAAAAGTTTTCTTAAAAAAAATTGATTGCAAATCTCGATTCAAACAATTGTAAATAAAAAATCTCAATTGTAGACTGAGAATAATATTTAAAACTAAAATTCCTTATTTGGAATTAAAATTCTTGAATTTGTTCTTGCTTAAATTGACATTTATGAGTTGCAACTCGTTTATTTAATAAAAAAAATTGATGGGAATAACCTAACTATAGCTCTTTCGAACCCTAACTTGTCATTCTCCCTAAATATAATATGCACCTTTTGATCAAATTGAAAATATATACATAGATATAACATTTAATATATTATCGCAATCATCAATACAAAATATAAAATTTATATCAATAAATTTATAAAAACTATGAATAGTACTCGAAATGCAATTCAAGTGACTATAATTAGGCCGATGGACCTAATTTGTAGCTTAGTTAATTATAAGAACACTCGAGAGGAGGCACAGGGTACCTTTGATGATCAGAACAATAATCATAGGTCATATATTTGGTCTTGACATTTTGATAAGCAGCTTGTCTTGCAGAGTCCAATTGCCAGAACTGTTGGTGGTTCCACCAGTACTTGTGAGAACCACAATCATTGATGTCATTGTCATGAGGAAGAAGATGACAGCCATTGACATGAAAACCTTGGAAGTGAGCTTTGAAAGGAGCAAAGCTCCAATTGGTCTTGGCTTTGCCTCCATCAGTGGCCCAGCTCTCTCCATCCCATAACGTTGCTTCTATTTTCATTGCCTTTGATGGATACGCCACTCCTATGTTGCTCTTGTTCTTGTATACCCTTATTGGGATTTCGTCCACATAAAACCTGCCACACACCAAAATAATATATGTAAAAACTTGTCAAAACAATTTTTATTTTTTGTGGATCGAGTTAAAAGAATCCATTTGTATACCTTAGATTGCATTTGGGAGTTTATGATTGAATGGAAAGGAATAATCATTAAAGAAATGGAGCAGAACGAAGTAGAGTAGAACAAAATTTTTCATTGTTTGGAAGTTTTATGATGAAAAGAAATGGTTTTATATGACCATTATTTGGGAGTTATTATAAAATGAATGGAATGAAATGGTTTAAAACTTTTTTCCTTTCAATATTGCCCATATGACTAAATTTAAAGAAAATAATAATGCCCATTAAATAATTATAATGTTCATCCAATAAATAATAACAACAACAACAACTAAAATTAATGGTTAAACAAGATATTTAAGAATTAAGATTAATAAAAAGAGAGAGTAAGTAACAAAGATATTTAAGCAAACATTCCTATTACACAAGAGGAAAATACAACAAAGTTATAGTGTTGAAAGGCATGATAGAGAGAGATGGCAAGAGTGATAGAGATATGGTGAGAAATAAGGCTATGCACTATATATGCTTGAATACCTGATCAGCTCGGCTTTGCCTGAAGCATTTAGGCACATGAGACCAAGTATCGGTAGGGGTCAAATCTTGCCTTGCCCAAATATGTGCAAAATTTTTTATTTTTTAAAATTTTTTGTGAATAGTATTTATCCTATGGAATTATTTTTTATTAAAAATTATCATGAATTATATTATTTTTATGATCTTTTAGATTTTTTTTATCATTACAATTTTTTAAATCTCTTTCAAAATTTAAAATTTATTTTTAAATTATTATTATGTAAAAATAATTCATTTGAACTTTTAAAAAATTACTTTTGATTCTAATATTATTTTTATGAAGAATATATTTTAAATAATAATAATAATAATATTTTTTAAGGAAATCTTTTTTATATTTTTTTCAAAAAATACTTGTAAAAATATTTTTGGGCCAATTGGGCTAGCCTAGTACTCAAATGCACATTGGACTGGGCACCGAGCTGGGGTAATGCCTGGCTCGACCTTGTCCATGTGCAACCTTAGCAGGAGGCAAAAGAGATAGCTAGAGAATAAAAATAATGGACGAGTTTTTTTTTATTAAGATAGAAGGTTGGGGGTAATTTTATAAATGAAATAATTATATTATATCACTCTATAATTCACCCCCAATACTGAACTATGGATGGCAAATGAGAGTTTTAGAGGCCTTTCTTTGCTATTCCATTCTTTTTTAAAAAAAAAAACTTACAAACAATGGCTTATATTTTTTAACCATCCCACTTCATTCTATTTCCCCTAAATATCCTTGTAATAATCAATGAATATAAAATATTCTTCAAATCTCAACAAAGTAAATCTTTAAAGATCATATATATTAAAAGAATAAATTTTGATAGATAATATATGCCAACAGTAATAGTATACATACTGTATAACACCTTAAATCGTAACTTTACTATGGGTTTAAGGCACAATCAAGTCCTGTAATTTAGTTCAACTAAGAAAGAATGATATATGGATTTAAATATTAATGCTATGTTTGGATGTATATTGATCTGAATATAGATTTGGACCAAATTCCTTATTTAGACACTTAAAAATTTATGTATAAATCCAAATTTTATCTTAATTATATTCCTTTGTAATGTGAAATTCTTTCTAAGCCCTTGTTATTCTAAATATTCATATACACCCTCCAAACAATAGCTAATACTAATAACCTTTTATTTAAACTACCTAAGTAAATAATTTGAAATGTGATATTTCAAATCTAAATCTATCAAATCAAACACTACCTAGCTAATGTAAAATAAGGATCTTCAAGTTACAAATATCGAAGTTTAATTGTAAATTTTGAAATTTCAATTATAAAAGGTGCTTAATTTTTTTCAAGCGGGACCATGATCCCTTCCCTTCAATTAATCTCATGTCTAATGTGTGTGTGAGTGTATGTATATACACATGCGCGCATGTGTACATGTATAATTTGAGAATAATTTCAGCTTTTTAGAGTATTGAAACGATAGAAACTCTGTATAGACTAAATAATTTTTAAAGTTATTTAAATATACTCTTATTTCCATTTTTAAAAGTATAGGTCTTCATAGGTAATTGTTCTTTGAAAAGTATCAGGACTAAACGGAGAGAAATAGTTTATTATAGGAATCAAAATAAAGTTCATGCCTGATATTTTAGGCGTCTGAATAAATTGTTGGATATCGAAATATATTATGAAATGTTTATATAGTAAGCTAAATGGATTTAAATTTTATGAGTGTCTCAAATCCTTTCCTCTAACGAGTGTCAACACTGCAGCCTAGGAATTTTATTAACACTTGAAAATTCAAGCTTTTTTTTTTTACTGAAAAATTCAAGCTTTAGAAATAATTAAAATAAAATGTTGAGTTAAATGACGGTTTTATAAAGACGCAATTCAACTATTTTTTTAGTCATGTAAATCCTTAGATTAACATGTAGAGCATAGAAAAAAGGAAGAGCTATGATTTAGGGTTTTTTTTCCCTATATCTTGTAATAACACAACCGTTTGATTAAATTGATGATCTTATAATTTATGGATCAAATTGTATGCCGTGCAAGGGGACCCACATAGTTAATGTAAAATAATACAGCATTAAATATGAAACTAATAATGTGTGATGTGAAGAAGAATATTTTCATTTGTATGTGTGTGTTTATCAGAAATCTTGTAAACAAATTAAAAACAAGCAGATACATAGAAAGAAGGAGGTAAATTAAGGAAAGAATTCATTAAGTTAAAAAAAAATTGAAAGAGAGGAGACGTACACGAGTTGATGAGGGTTCCAAAGAAGTTTGTAATCGTGGAAATCAGCAGTGGGATCAAACCAAAGGCGAATTCTTTGTTCTCTGTTGCCTTTGCCATCTGCAAATACATTTGTCTGTAACGTGTACGGCTTGCCCTCTCTATTCCCTAAGAATTCAAAGTCCACTTCGTCATGTCTGTCTCCTCCAGATGTTAGCTGCATATCAAATTTAATTGCGTACTCACATCATCAATCTTATATATATGTATATATGCCTCAATACTTAAATGAGGAAAATTAAAAGCTCACATAGTAAGCTGTGACAACTCCAGCAGAATCTCTGTCTGGTACTTTGATCTTCAAATGGAAAAACCCAGACCCATAATTCATCTTGGATCCAAAGCCAGACCCTGCAAAATGGAAAAGGAAGGAAAAAAAATTACCATAATGGGTTATAAAAAAATTTTATTGCTAAGAAGAAAATCATATTTGAGGTATGATTAGACGCTAAAACAATATTTGGTAGATAGAAAAAAAATTTAGGAAAAAAATAAAATATATACCTAAAAAGAAAATAAAACAAGTGCATTTTTCATTTTTTTTCTTCTAAAAAATATTTTTTACTTACCAAATATTGGACAAATGTAAGCACTTCTACAAACAAAATTCAAACTTTAGTTTATCACATTGTGAGAAACTGATCACTACTAATCCCTTCAACTATATTCAACCCCCAAAAGTAAAGGCTTATAATTAATTTGATCACATAAATCTCAATTAATGGTCATGATAGAATCAATACCTTTAAACTAATTAACATGATTCTATATACCAGTACACGTTGGTACTAGTAAAAATGATTATAACTACTTAAACACAAGATTTTGGGTTCAAGTGCATGCGAATGCAAAAGGAAAAAAAAAAAAACAATATCTTTGAAAGTGATACTCCCAATAACAATACTCGAATCTAACCTAATAATACTGGCTGTCAGACAACTATATATCAAAATTACAAAAAACAAAAACAAACGATTCTATTAGTTCAGTTTTAAAAAACATTATTTGAATGCAAAATATTCTAAAGTAGGACCAATTGTATGGCATGAGAATTAAGTCCTGCGCCTAAACTTCTGAGTCAACTTTCTTCCACATATATGCGCAATTTCATTAATTGGCATATATTAATGCTTTCCACTTTCTCGTTGAAAATATGGGACTGTAATATAGAGTTTTTATGAATTTTGAATTCTCCAATTTCAAAGAGCCAGCTTTTCAAACATGATTATCTCCCAAAAATTCATTTACCTAATTTCTTAGCCATCCAAACTTACACACTATCTAACAAGGCAACTGTTTTACCTAACCAAAACAGTACTTAATTAAAGAGGAAAAAAATTAAATTACTTACAGGTTCATGATCTTTAAAAAACAATTAAATAGCATACATAAAAATAAACTTAGAAAATGCATATGTGCAAGTATCTTATGTAGTTTTCATTGTATGAATGTATGAAAAGGAAGCATTTAATTCAACATCCTGGTTTGGTAAATATGGACAAGGTTCCAAAATATTATTTACAAGATCATTATGTGTATCAAAATTCACGAGTCCATTATTTGCAACATGCATGTTCAATTTGTTTGTCTTATTATGTGATTTAATGGAAGTGCTATGAAGTCACAAGATCGTTGGATTATATGACATATGAAGTTTGGTAAGATTTGACATCCTAACTTGATATATCTTTGTACTATTTCTGTTTATGTAATTTTTTTATTAGGCTTATAATCATTTTAACCTTTAAGTCTTTTGGACTTATTGACCTAATTAAAAAGGTCTTTTGAACTTTCCACATTACAAAATAGGCCTATATATAATTTTTTTATTCTTCGGTATGTAATTTTACTTAAATTATTAACTTTATTTTCTTTTTAAATTGTATTATTTATTTTTGAAAATACCGTTAATTTCCAGAAATCTAACACCATAAAGATCAGTAAAAGAAATTGCTAATGTGACAGGATCATATTTTTTGAAATATAATTAATTGAAATAAATGAAATTAAAGGAAGAATTAAAATCAATACATATAAGTAATCAAGAAAAAATTATATTTTTGAAATCTCTTAATCAGTACCTATAATTTAAACATTTATTGAGGCTTAGAGTTTAAGTTGTTTTTTGTCAAATATGTAAAGGAACATTATACTGCTTCATTTTTCATATATCCATACAAAATACATCACATCAATAAAATTTCACAAAATATCTTAAAAAATTTTAATAGTTTGGATTTAAATTAAAATCTTGTAAAATATGTAAATTCGATAACAAAGTTCTAAAACACCAAGACCAAATTAAAAATTGAGTGCGATAATTTATATTGGATCATGACTGTACTTTTCCCATCGACCTAACATATTATTCAAGTCGATAAAATCAATGGAGAAGTAATTCTGTTTTCCATGTGCATGCACAACCAATTAATATAGTTTTGCACTGTTTCAAACATTAACCTTGGTTATGTTTCTCTCTACAATCTTTTCTTTTCTATCATTATTTATTGATTCTAATCTAAGTGGTTATAGTGACGGACCGAGGAAAAATTTATTAGGAAGGGTGATATTTATACTAAATATAAATATTCATATTTTTAAAGAAAATACAATTCTAAATATTAATTGAAGTAGCATACAAATAAATCATATGAGAAGAAGTTTAAAAATATATATTGACTTCATTTGTATCATAAATTTATTTTATAGTAACTATAAGAATAAAAAATATTTTTAAATATATGTGTTTCATAATTTTAAAAAGAGTGTGTGTATGTTCGGGTGTATGTGCGTACACATATAGATATGGAGATGTTACATAGTTTTTAGGAAAAATGATAATTAAGAACTTCATAAGATCATTAGTTACAATTAGGGACCCTAAATTATTAAAGTCCCAATAATGGACCATGGTCCTTACTTGAAATAAAAATCATATGAGTTTAAAATTAAAAAAAAATACATTACAAAAATTATTATTATGAGTTGGGACTATTCTTGAGAATTGATTATTTTTCAATATGAAACTAAAATTCATTTGTAAAACTTTTAAAACATACTTGTGAATATACAATAGTTACTTGAAAATTTACTAACATTGCATTTAAATATAAAGCCAATCACTTGTGAATTTATATACTTGTCAATATGTACGTAAATCACTTGGAAAATCAAAAAAAGACAAGACTGAAATTAGATTATTTTTAATCTCAGTTGGAAAAAGTAAGATTTCAAGTGTTATGGATTGAAACTATTGAAATTGTTATTATGAGTTGGGACTATTAATTAAGCTCATTCCAAGTATGGATCTCGGTTTTCCCAACAAAGATTAACACCCATAATAGTAATTTTAATAATATCTTTTCTTGATTTTAAACTAATATATTTTTAATTTCAAATAAAGACCATAGTCTATTATTGGGACTTAAATAATTCAATGTCCTTAATTGTAATTAATAGTCTTATGGGATCCTAAATTGTCATTTTCCCAGTTTTTAAAGTGAAAACATAGCCAGTAAACCAAATCAAAATTGACATGAGTACATATGCATGCAAATCTGTTGTGATATATATATATATATATATATATATATTTAATACAAAAGGCAATTAGCTGAAACTAGCTTGAAATTGAAGATAGCAAGTTGAACGCACCACCTCTCATGTACGAAAGTCATCGTAATGCCACAAGGCTAGAAGGCGTTCATTGTTATCTATATCAAATCAAATCAAAATTGACATGATTTCATATACTCGCGTGCACGCGTATCCGTGTGTGATATTTTGTTCAGTATGAAGGGCAAGTTGAAACTAGCTTGAAAGAGATCAGTGACCTCACGACCTCCTACATACAGAAGTAAGCCTAATGCCATAAAGTTGCAAGATCATTGACATCTGTGTGCGTGATATGAGATTTGAATTCGGTGACTATACTTAGTACAGGCATTAAGTACTTATATCATCTAAACCGTTAAAATTTAAATCAATAGTTATGAATTTATACTTTAAAATTAATGAATGGGTAAATTTATCTAAATCGTTAATCTAGATTTTAATGACTCAGATGGTACAGGCACTCAATATCTATACTAAGTATAGTTATTGAATCTAAATCCGCATGATATACTATGGAAAAGAAAGAGAAGGAAGGAAAATTAAAAGAGAAAACAAATTAAATACCTGAAGCTTTGTCCATGGAGAGCTGAATTTCCTTCCCTTGCTTCAAATACACAACATGATCTCCACCCCAAATAACCTTATAATTCTCATCAAAGCTTGTTTCTCCATTCTGTCCATTCCCAAACACAGCACCACAAACCAGAAATGAAAGAAAAACAAGTATCAGCAGAAAATCCATATATATATATATATATATATATCGATATCAAGGCAAAGCTCTAGGGTTTTGAATGATTTGAGAGTGTGCGCGTGTGTATATATATGAAGTCGATATTGAATTGTCGGCCAAATTCTTGGGTGTTTGTTTATATACATGATGCAGACGTAAGCTTCATTGTCCAAAGAAGACATTAAAAAGCATAAAGAACTCATGACCCATAATTTCCTGACCAATACGTTATTGACTTCTTGGCCCTATCTACCATACCATACCATCCTCCATAACGAAAGCCACGTCTTCGTCATCTTCATATTGAGTTTGGCTTAGTTTAGCAGCAACGTTTAATAGAGACTTCAATTAATTAATCTCCTTCATACTCATTAGAATTCTGTTAATTTTTCTGATTTAGACGCAAAGTGATGAATCTGGTATATCCAGACAAATTGATCTGAGACAGGTCACTTCTTATATATCTAGGAAGGTTTGTTACTACTTAATTAGTAATAATTGACACCATCAACTATTTGGATCTTGTTTCGGTGAATATATATATTTTTTATCTTATCTGTTTAGATTTAATTTTTTTGTAATTTTAAATTAGATAATTTTTATAAGTTGACAGTTAAAATATTATTATTATTATTATTATTATTATCATTTTACATCTTGATTCTTTGAAAGTGAAAAAGTATTGAAATCAAATAACACAATATAATTTGAACGGTTCAAACTTTATTTAGATCATTAAGTTTTTTTATATTTAAATCGCCATTTTTTAATAAGTAACTTCACACCAAATCTATCCATTCTCTATAGTCTATACTATTTACCGAGGTTTCTTCATGAAACTTTTGAGCTTGACATTTAAGCAACTATTTGCTATAAAAATGATTGTACTAACCACAAATATAAAAATTAGTTGGGCATCTCCAAATCATGGAGGCGTGTGTGATAAATTAATTGGAGTATTTACATAGTTCTAGAAAAAAAATAATCTTTTAGATTCTTAACTATTACATATTTAAGGCAAAACTTATGTAACCTTATATACTTAATATATTTTTATCCAATTAAATTAATATATGTGAATTTTAATATTTTAACAATATTAATAAAAAGAATTTTTTATTGAATAATAATCTATAAGAAAAATTTACATGTCTTATTTTAATTGGAAACAAGCTCTTTCAGTATATAAGACTAAATATATAAATTTTACTCATATATTTGCACAAGTTATATGACACCTTTTATAATTTTGAATCAAAGTTTAAATTATATTTTTGGGTCCTTAAGATTTTAGTAGTTGTTATTCATTGGCAATATGATATCAATATTAAACATGAAATTTATAGGAAGCTACTCTCTCCAATCTTAAATATGAGAAAATTTTAGGGGATTTATCATTTATTGTGGTTGAGATTATAAGAAACAGAGAGTTCATGTTTGATGTGTTAATTAGATTATTTTAATTATAACCATCATTAAATTAGGAGTACTAAGAATAATTATAAATGTACGGTAAAAGTTCAAATTAAATAAGAAATTGCAGGTATTTGTGAAAATTTTTTATATATATGACAATTGACACATTTAGGAAAAATAACCCATTTTCGTAATCCTAATGAGATAGCTATTTGTTCTTTATATTTAAGACCAAAAAGAGTATATCACTTGTAAGTATTACAATTAGGTTTGACTCATATTTAAACTTGGGTTAATGGGCAATTTGGCCCTTAAATTATAAGTTTAGGAGTGTCTAAGACCATTAATTTGTTTTTCATGCAATGTTTCCTTTTAATTTTTGAAAATGGTATAGTGTCACCCATATTATGAACAAAAATTAACTTTGATTATCAGTTGACTAGAAAATGATAAAAAAAAAGACCAAAAAAATTAAAGGATCTAAAAATTACAGAAAAGGATCAAGCCAAATTTTGATCAACTAACAGTCAGTATTAACTATAGTTAACGGTAGGAACAATATTATACTATTTTTAAAAGTTGAAAGAAAACATTACACCAAAAATAAATTTAAGGCTCTAGATGCTCCTGAACCTATAATTTAGGGGTTAAATTGTTATTTAACCCTTTAAACTTCAAGTGATACATAGAAAAGCACATCTATCTAAACCTAAGAATAGATGCAAGGGAAATAAGCAAATAATCTCTCAACCAGACTCTTGATATAGAATTTGGCTAGATGTTAAAAGTCTTTTTATTTTTTATTATTTATATTATTTTTTTTGTTAATTAAATTTGATTTAGATAAAAAAAGAAAATAATCACTTTTTTAATGTTTTCCCCCCTTAATTTATTAAAAAAAATTGGTAACCAAAAGGTGTAAGTTTCGATGGCATTGGATAATATTTCTTCAGATGTATTGAAAACAAAGGATGGCTCTCCCATCCAAATATATTTTTGGTAAGTATAAGGTGTAGGTTTCATCAACATTAGATAATATCTCCTTTGAGATATTGAAAACAAAATATGAATCTCTCCCATCCAGGTTGCTACATATATAGGCCCTGGGCTGTTTGGTAAAAAGGATTATGGGGGGTGGAATTTGGATTGGTATTAAGTAAAACCAACTTTTCGTGCCTGGTATGAGGTAATGAAAAAACTAATCTCAATCCCAATTCCTTCTAGAGGTATTAGCCAATTCCACCATCCCTTGGTATTGTGAAATTTCAGTCTTAGGATTGAAAATTTGCAGACCAAATTTCCCCTTGACTCCATCCCCTCTATCGAGTCTCTCCCTCTGCCATCCATTAATTTGCTTCCTAGAGAAGCGGACAAGATTAATACGAGGAAGAGAAACCAAAGCAAGATAGAAGGAAGGATGGAGGAGGAAAGCTTACGATACGCCAAGTGGAACACAAGCTTAATTAGGAGCGTGATGGAAGCCGACGAGATTGACGCTTGTGAGATGTAGAGCGACGAGAGTGAGAGCAAGTAAAACTAGTTACGATCTTTTAGCGAGATCAACAGCAAACAAGATTTGATTTGTGTTTCTGGCGAGGTTGACGGAAAATCCCTCCAGTGATTCGGTTTTGCTCACTTATCCCCTCCTCTTTCATCAATTTGGTTTCAAGCAAGGAGAGTCTGGATTTGATTTCAAATGAGGAGAATCTCAATATTGTTTCTAGTCATTGTTTTGAACTTGGATTTGGATTTTTTTTGTTGGTGGTATGAACCTCCTCCATAATACTCAGCTCTACCCTCCATCCGATGGAAGAAGATGAGGAAAATAATGTCTTTTGTTCAATTTTTTTGACGTGATGAGTTATATTTTTTTTTTAATCTCATAACATGGCACATTACTAGTCCTTTAAAATTTGACGTTTCATGGCAAACAGAGCTTAATTTCAGTTGAACATATGCCATTACAAATGTTTTTTTTTTTGTAAGAGAATATAATTTTTCTTATTTTCATTGTCTTTACTAATATAATAAAATTAAATCAATTCATTAGTCATCATGATGATGCAAGTTAGCCCGAACCCATCCAAAAAAGTTAAAACTAAGCTTGACTACATGAGCTTTTTTTAGAAGGATAGGATACTTTAAATTCAGCCTAAAATGAGCCTGGCCCTAATAAGTTCGACCCTTGGAATTTCTAGGTCTATGTGTATGTAAAGTAAGTAATTTTGGCCAAGCTAGACAGGCCAGCTAAAACCTGATCAAAAAAGTTAAGGCCAAGCTTGATCTGAATAAGCTGGTCCAAATTAATCCCGACCTAAATAAACACAACCCACTCAAATTATTGGCTCTATTTTAACTTGGAATAAGATGAGACTTTGGTCAGCAGGGATAAAGTGGTAGTAGGAATGTACCACAACACAAGTAGTGCTAGTATGACATTACAATGATGAGTTTAGAGTCGATAATTCGGTCGGGCCAAATTTATTCAAGTTGGAATCAATTTGAACTGAATTTAAAATATCCTACCCTCTTAAAAAAACTCATATAGCAAATCCGGCTCTAACTTTTTACGATTAGGTTCGGGCTGACAGTCGGGCTTGGCTAAAATTACCAACTCTATATACACATGGAGTTAAAAATTTCAGAGGCCAAACTCATTCAAGTCAGGTTCAATTCAAGCCAAGCTTATTCGGATCAGATTTAAAGTATCCTACCTTCTTAAAAATATATATAGAGTCAAGCTTGACCCTAACTTTTTTCAGGCAGGTTAGGACTAGCCTGTCAAACTTGGCCCAAATTACTAGATCCAAATAAGGCTAATAATAAAATCAATTACTATGCCATATATATTATATAAATTGATAAAAATTAAAATTTATATATGAACATTATACTTTCTAATTAAATATCTCAAATTTGAATCCTAAAAATACAGTAGCATTTGTGATAGAGCTCTCGTTCGTTCGAAAAGATTATTATCAAATCTCCTCAACTTGATCAATTAGATCAGTCTAAGATACCGAATGCATATGAAAAAGCTTGCATGGATATAGGCGTAGTAATCTTGATGGCTGATTTTTTGCAAGCAAATGGTTCTTAAATATGTCATAGTTAGTTCCATATTAATCTTTGATTTCATAAAGGTTGATGTCACATTGGACAGAGAGTGTTGTTTGTTATTCTTGTCTTATTAGGCTGGCGGCTACTATATAGTTACAATCATGACTTTGTTCTCCATTACTCAACGTAGGCGCGGTTTGTCTCACTTAAAAAAAAAAAAATGGTGTAAATTTTTCGAGAAAAAATCATAATAAAATCCCAAAATAAAAATTTATTACAATCATATTCTAGATAATTTTTTTAAAAAAATAAATTATGGATATTGATTCAGATCGTTACAAATTCAAAAATTTTAATTATAAATAAGATATTTAAATTACAAATATAACTCAGTTTATAATTGAGATTCATGTTTACATATGTCAGAATTAATATTAATTTATAACTTAATTTTTAAAAAAATTGTTGAAATCCTTACTATTATAAATTCTCTACTTTAAAACTTTATTGTCTTTCTTCTTTTTTTTAATGCATGGTAAAAAGTCTACTAAAAATAAGTAATGTATTAGTGGTTATTTATTGTCATTCTCAAAATCATTAGTTATCA